GATTTGGCTGGTAGCTTTTTGCAATAGAGCTAACCAATTTGAGAAGGAAAATGACATTGACTTAATTACAAGGTCACAGGGGAAAATATGTCAAGCAACTTCTGAAGAAGAATGAAAAAAGCATAAAATCTTATAATAATATTTGGCTGGTAGTTTCAACAGATGGAGCCGACAAAGTTTGCGAGGGAAATATTTTTAGTGCAATATAATATTTAATGAGAATATTTTGCTATGACTGCTTAAATATTCAGGTGAGCGATACAAGCCCCTCTGTAATGCAACTGAAGTCAAGTACTGGCTATTCCATGTACTGGCTATTCCGGCTATTCCAAGGTGATGTGTCTTCAGAAGTGGACATGGCTTACACGAGTGTCGCTAAAATAGATAAAATAGACCTTGAAAATCAAACACTGCTCCCAATCGGTGTTACTACTGAGGCCAATATCTTAACGTACGTTTGTACAACTATAATAATAATCCTGGTTATTTTTTCAATGTTTTAACTTGTATAATCTGTATCAGACGTGTTTAACAATGGCACTTTATAACGTCTCGAGACGTCCATCTTCACGAGATTTACGTAAGTATTATGGGTACATATATTTAGAGGAGGGACAAATAGAAATCTCAACATATATATATAGTATATATGTTATCTGGGTCTGTTGTACATCTATACTTATTGGGTTAACAGTCTGTGTATAGATTAACAACAATCGTCGTACTTTATCTGTCTCTCAACAAACAGTAAACTCCTCGGGAAGGTGGGTTTGTGAGAAGTCACGCTATACGGTTAAATGTGGGTCGATATCGGTAATGTATTCCGTGTGTGAACGTGATCTTACGTTAATCATTCTTCCGGATCGTCCCATACAATGATGACGTATACCCTTGCTTGTACCACACACATATATATATACACATCCTCCTTGTTTAGGGATAGGATACGGCTTTATTTTGAAATTTACATTATCGGACCATACCAAAGAAAGGTAGCCGAAGGAGTGAGGTTGGGGAAAGGGAAAATTAAAGACAAAATCCGGAGTCGATAAGGCGGGGAAGGGGTTGAATAGGGATTTGATTAAATAGTGTCCGTCTGTTGAAATGGTATATATCGCACAGTGGGTTGAATGGGATCGACTTGAAGAAAGGACCAAACGTAGAACTACGGGAAATGGATATTGGGTTGTGGCGAAGAGGTAGGCTTATTGGTTGAAGAATTAAAGCGAGTTGCATGATAGATTGGGGTGGGATAAAGGGATTGATTGATGTGGTCGGTATGATTGTACATGTATTTTAAGACAAGCGTCATTACTGTGATGGTGAGTGGACTAGCGTCATGACCGTGATGGTGTGATATCTAAATCAGCTGATCGTCGTCAGATCAATCTCCATGGTTACCTGTATAAGTTATTACCATACCATTGGTTTGTTAGGCGCGGAAGTTGATTTTGTACGTCTATATCATGTACATAAACTATGTTTAACGTCAAATAGGTTCTGACAGGATAGCTCGCTGGTATGTATGTATACATGTATAGGTCTCCTGGGTAATTTAACGATGATTTAGTCTCATATCGATCATAGAATGTTGATAAATGTCCGCAGTTTTATTTAAAATACCCGTTAATATAAACAAACGTTGGAGTAAAAATCGGACAAAACATTGCTATGCTACTATCGCCATCACAGGGACTTGTGAATTTGTCACAGATATATTTGAACCTAAACTGAGGTGTTCAGAGTAAGTTTACACGTTTGGGGGGTTTAGATCGATTTTCGGTAAAAATGCCACCCCATTGTATGATCATTGTGAGTGTTTTTATTTGTTGTTTTTTTTTTACCGAGAATCGACCTTAACCCCCCCCCCCCCAACGTGAAAAATTACTCTAAACACTTAGTTTAGGTCCAAATATAGCTGTAACAAATTATCAGGTCCCTGTGATCGCAACGATATGATTTCGCTCTGTAAAAATAACAAGTAAATTTAACTATTATACTTCGTTATTGGTTAATGCATTTTACCAGTAAAGTGAACTCTATATGTTTCAGCACGGACTTAGATAAGTCCGTGGTATCATACATCATTTTGTAGATTGTTGGTTACTGTATATATTATATATATATATCTTTATTTGTTTCACGAGGATTACGAACAGCCCGAGGGCTACTAGTCGTTTTCCTCACATTTAACAAACAATCGAACGGTACAACATTTACATTATTAACATACAGTACAAAATACAGGAAATGATTATATATAGTCTCACTATATAAGTACGTGTCTGGAATAGGTCGCTTCGTGTAATGGACAAATAACCGTATGTCTGAGTAACAACATTGTATGAATGTATCGGCCAAGTACATGTAATCCATTTCATTGTCATTATCAGATCTCATAGAACTTCCCAAACATCTGCCGCCAGCTGTATACTATACTTACATCACCGTATACACCATATAACCGCGTACAGCTGTGTGTTACCTGTCACTTGTGACACACACCTGACCGGTCACGTGTGTGTAACCCTGGCCAGGTGTACATGTATATCGGATGGTACACCACACAGATATAGCCCTGGCCATTATCATCGCTTACTGTAGTTGTCACTTAAAAAAGCGGTTCTACACGCGTGGTCATTGTGGCTAGATAGAAAACATCACTGTTGACCCTGTAGCGTCTGGTCATACCTTTGTAAGGTCTGTCGTTACGCCCCCACCTCGGTAAGAATGACCACAGCCATCAGAGACGGAATATGTCTCTGTATATTATAAAAGCAGAAAATGATCCTTACGGACGAAGAAATATTATAAAAAGAAAAATCCTCAACAACGAGTCTTTAGTACTTTCATCTTTCAAAGAAGAGATGAAAGTACTTAAGACTCTTTTTATAATGTCGCCTGAAGAGCCCCAAGATGGGCAAAAGCGCTAGCCGATTATCTTAGTGTTTTGCTTTATTTATATTTTTACCGTCGCATGGACATTTAAAACTATTTATCGCTGTATATATATATTTTCTAATTAAATTTCGATGTCATTTGAAAACGAATGAGAGACAACGCCAAAAGCTAAACGGTTAGATAGGAGAGAATATAGAAAATATACAGGTCCCATAGACACACCAGATAGAGGTCCCGTAGACACACAAGATATAGGTCCCATAGACACACAAGATATAGGTCCCATAGACACACAAGATAGAGTTCCCAAAGACACACAATATAGAGGTCCCATAGACACACAAGATATAGGTCCCATAGACACACAAGATAGAGGTCCCATATACACACAAGAAAACTTTTTTTTACTACAAAGGGGTAAAACGTTAGTCGCCTCACATGTACAATCGGACCAGATACGTATAGTTATATACGCGACTGCGAGATCTGCGCGAGTTGCCAATCTCTGGCTTTATATGTCTGTCGTCGAGTGCTTGCAGAGGCGGGTCAATCTGTGACTGGTAACTGATCAGAAACTTCAATTATAATAATCATTTTGTATACGTATTGTTCTGGAGTGAAAGGTGCAAGTGGGACGGGCAGAAATGATGAAAGCAAAGTGTTGAAGACAAATTCCTTTAAAAGGGAAAATGATGGATGCACGTGTAATACGACGAATGTAGCGTACACTCGCGTCACTCTGGAACAGAACCAGGTGAGACACGTCAATTGTACACGTACATGTAGCCATATTGTGTGTATCCTCCCACGCTGTCTCTGTACCGAATGTACCAATCGTGTATCGCGCTGACGACCAATTACCTTAACATACCGAGAAACTCACATTCATCAGCAGTGATTGTGCTCCTCATCTGACATTTAAAACTTTAACTAGTTTTTCGAAGTGTTTGATGCTGTTTTGGCGTACCTATGTTTTTCATGCCTGTTTGTGCGTGCGTGCGTGTGTGTTTTTCCTCCAAATTTTACTTTACTTACTTACTATGACAAGATCTATATTGTAACGATGAAATGAGGGAATTATCCTAATGTATAAATTGTCCTTTAACCAGAGATTTAACCAAACCCCAAAATGCGCACGTCCACGTGATTGACGTCTGATCACGATATTTACCTCTCGATGACATACACTGCCACGAACCCTGCCAATTTCGGATGGCATTTTATTAAGCATTAAACTGCTTTCAGTTGGCATTCATAGGCAATATGAATACCAACTGGGTCAAGGCAAATCCATTGCTAATGTGCCGGGGAAAGGCTCCCGGATCGCTTTAAGGGGCGTATTACATCACATCAAAAAGCGATCACTCCTTTCAAAATCTTAGGATCCGACCCTTCTTCAAAAAGACAATTTGTAAGGAAAGTATTTTGAACGCCTCTGTATGACATATAACAAAGATATATACATGGGTCAGATTTTGTGGCTTTACATGCAGCTTCCCCCGTTCGGCCTCGCCTGCATGCGCGCTATTCTGATATGAGTGACGTTGTTGTCCAAAAACTGAGATAGACGAAATTAATCTAATTCCGTGGTCTTGCGCAGTAAATAATATTTCGGGTATGAAATAACTGCTATCAATATAATGACTTGTATTTAAACCGCTCTTTTATTAAAGCTTACCAAAGTCAAAGTGGGGTTCTAACAGTGTTCTATATATGTTGGGACTGATATGTGATTAGAAGTTTGGCTTTTTTACAGAATTTTCATTAAACCAAAGACGTACATAATGTAATATATCAATATATGTAAGATCACCGACTTAGATTATCGCTATATCTTAGTCCGTTGTAATAAATAGTGATATCGATGGCGGACAGATGGATTGTATAAGCGCACATGTTGTATTTCGTATGGAAACGGTCCTCGTAACTATGCAAGCCATACATGTACGGAAGCTAAATATGAGACTTTGTTTTGGTTATCACTGTATATATACAATTCCATATTAGGCATATTACCTACACACACCTACATTTTTAACCAATGAAAAGCGGGTGATCGTCCTACCTCGTTCCGCAATATTACTCTTGCTCTCTGACCTCTGAACTTTGACATCACATGATCGGCTGATCTGAGACGGACGGGAAAAGCACACTGACAGTTTGGCGTCAAAATAACACCAGTTCTAACCAAAACTGACATACATTTTGGAGCACAATTGTTTATACAGGATATGTGTTGATGAAATTACTACTGGAATAATATAAAACGTAAGTATGAATGAGCCAAAGTCTGGGAAATTTCCAATGTTTGTGACCGACATCTTTGATCCAGACGAGGTTACAGTAACATTTGTATACGAGTGAATTCAGAAGATGTTTTGTCAAAATTCTACTAGTATTTGAGTTAGGTGGTATTGTTATAAATCGGTTCACCATATCGTTGTTTTCAATGAACGATGAAATGTGCAGAGCACATAACTGGTGTTTAGGACCACACGCGACGATACAGTGATAATGATAACTGTAAATAATGATAATATGCACTGACTGGGTCCAGTCGTTTGGGTTGGAGGACTCTCTTTGTTTCACTTTTACAGCTGAAATAATTTACGTAAATAATATCATAGACATGTCTCAATATTTTGGTAGTTTTGTTACACCTGTGCTTTGTAAGAAGGGTATATATTTTAACTATAAGTAGCTCCTCTCAATAAAATGTAAATAATCCTTCCTTTCACTGTTGTCTGATGCACACAATGTATAAAGGAGTTTATACTGGTTTTCGACAAAAAGTATACTATATTTAAGAGATTTAGATCGATCAGATCTAGACTATACTTGATAAAACATCCCCCCCCCCCC